TTTTTTTTGTTGGCAAGATTTGTTGGTTGACATTGCCTTCCTTTGAGGTTGAGAGTATATGACTTCCCGAATGTTGCCCAATGGGTTTCCATGGTTGAGTGGGGATTCGAACTCTGGTCTTCCAGAATCCTAGTCCAATATTCTATCCACTACACTACACTACACTACACTGGCTATCTCTCATCTCTAAATCTCCTCTTTTCCCATTATTCATTCTTCAGATAGGAGAATGGAATAGAGAAAGCAAGGGTGGAGCCATTTCAAAGTTAGCAATGACTTGCCACAACTGATAAATTAATAACTACAATAGTAATTGATCACAATGATAATGAAAACTTACCCACCAATCCTATGCAGAGCAGAGCTGAGGCCACAAAGGAGAAAGCTCAGGCCATGACAAGAGTTGTTGTCATCTTCCCCGTGGTGAATTCTGTGTTTGGACTCTACACACATAGACCAGTTTGAATTCATGACAGCACACTCTGCATTTTGTGAAGAATATCTTACTCATTATGACAATTTAACACTGGTGGCAGCTGCAAGGAAACTAGTCATTCTGGTTTGATCTTGCATATATTGGAACTCATCTGTAGAATGGAGCCATGTCTGTTAAACATAGTATGAAATTGCTATACATGTGAAGTGTGAAAGAGAACCGAGTTCTTCATTCCCATGCCTGCCATCAAATGCCACTGATACAGTTGTGAGAAGGGTTAGCATTTTCCATAGTAAACCTAACTTAGAGGTAAGCACTGAGATAATGCTTCTGAGGTTTCTAAGCATTGTTTTTGTTTTGTTGTTGTCTGCCTTCAGGTGATTTCTGACTTATGGCCACCCTAAGGTGAATCTATAATGGCATTTTCATGGCAAGCTTCTTCAGACGGGATTTGCCACTGCCATCCTCTGAGGCTGAGAGACTGTGGCCTGCCCAAGGTCACCCAGTGAGTTTACATGGCCAAACCAGGATTTGAACCCTGGTCTCCAGAGTTGTAATCCAATGCTTAAACCACTCCACCACATTGACTCTCTCTAACCCACTCATATATTCAAAACTGCTAAATATATTATGCTGTAACATACTTCTGCCATCACCAGCAGGGTACCTCTTGCACACCTGAAGTGTCTTGACTTTGCACCCCTGCTATGAACACACATTATCTACAGCTGGCCTTCTGCATTGTAGTTACGGATTTATAACCCTGAGTTATGGATCTGTAACTGCACCATATTCAGTAATGCTATGTAGTCACGATCATGACACTATTGCCATAACTGTAAATCGCCCCCCAGCCCACCTTAGTAGCCAGCAGCCAGATTGGGCAAAGGAGGTCAATTCAGTTGCTGATTGGGACAAAAGGAGGAGGATGTTCCACTAGTGCAGTGGCTTCCAATCTACAGATCCAGGGGGTGCAAGATGGCATGGAGGGGGCCACAAAGAGTGGATTGTGTCCTTGAGTGACAAGCCACAAGTCATCACTCAATTGGTTTTTGTGGGTTTTTTTGGGCTGTGAGGCCGTGTTTTAGAAGAGTGTATTCCTGATGTTGCACCTGCATCTGTGGCTGGCAATGGGCAGAAGGTGGAACATACCCATCCCAAGGGTCTTGCCAAACTGCCATTCTTTTTCCCCTCTCAGTGCTCGTGGTTCTGTGGGGCTCTTTGCGATTTCAACCAAAGGGAACCAATTCACTGGCAGAAGTGGAAAACAGCTGCACGGTGATTTAAAGGGACCACATTGACAGCACGGGAAATTTGAACCACAAAGAGCCCCACGGAACCGCGAGCGCTGAGAGGAGAAAAAGAATACATGGCAAGGCCTTTGGGTATGTTTCACCCCTCTGCCCACCCTCTGCCCATTGGCCCTCCCTCCTGGGTGCCCCGAATGTGATCAGCAGCATGTTCACATTTGTGGCAACCCACTTTTCAAAAGGTGTGATAAAAGATCCAGAATCAAAAGAACTTGTTCAGGCAGGCTTGTGTCGATTCACCCTGAACATATTTGCAAGTGTAATCGACTTGAGTGTGAATGAGGCACCTAAAACTCAGTTTGCAAACCAGGCTATATCGTAGTGTGAATGAGACCTAAGAAATTAAAGTTTTTTAACCTCTGCATAGCACGCAGGATGTTATCTCCTTTCAATCTTCCACTGTGAATACTCATTATACCAGGTAATGCCATCATCACTCGTGCTACTTTTGGAACATATCTCTGTCAAACATTGTAGGTAATTGTTGTGATAAACAGCCAGTGTGGTGTAGTGGTTTGAGCACTGGACCAAGACTCTGGACAACAGGGTTCGATTCTGAGTTAAGCCATGGAAACCATCTGGGTGACCTTGGACGAGTCACACACTCTGAGCCCCAGGTTCACCTTAGGGTTGGCATAAGTATGAAATGACTTGAAAGTACACAACAACAAATTGTAATGATATTTTATACTTTGATACTTCCAATCTCTTTTTAACCATAGAAACTGATGCAGAGAATTTCCTTGTTTCCCTGTCTACCTGTTTCATGTTGATAATTCTTTTACACTACTGTCATAAAAAAACAACTCCATTGCTTTTCTGCTTGTTTTCTATTTCTGATACATTTTCATTTAAATTCATTCTTTAGTCTTTAAGTAATGGGCTATTCAGATCCCTTCTTGGTTTTCTTTTCTACAGATTTAGCATTAGGTTTGTCAGTTTGCACTCTTTTCTTCATAAGCAAGTCTTTACCCTTCCACAAGACATCTCAATTACAATGAGCTGATTTAGGATTCCTTTAGGGTCTTGTACGTTAAAAAAATAATCATCATGGTATTTTCCCAAAGGTACTGGTCTTTTCTGCATTTTAACGTCATTTAAACCATTTCTCATGTAGTTGCTTTGTCATGAAACATGGCTGCATTTGGCCATTTAATATATGCAAAATAAATGTTAGCAGGTTGCATTCACACACATTCCAACACCCCAGTATCTGACACATTCCCAGAAAACCTGTATCTAAAGTAAGCATGGAGAAAACTTTGGGTTTCTAGATATTTTACACTTCAACCCCAAACAACCCATCCACTCTGACCAACTGTAAGGCAAAATTCTCCTGCCCTTAACTTAGGACAGGTGGGAGAACTATGTATGTGGCCCTCCAGATGTTTGGGCTCCAACTCCCAGCATTTCTCCCTGTTTCTATGGTGCCTAAGTCTGCTAAATTTGCAGTTGAACAATATTCTGAAGAGCACATGATTTCTCCCTTGGTCTCAGCAATTTTAAGCTGAATCCCCCACCTTTCACAGTGCCAGGTATTGGTGAAAGTTGCACACACACACACTTTTGTCAATGAAAACGGGTGAAAGTTGCACACATACACACTTGTCAATGAAAACAGGATATTTTATTTATAACTTTACAAGTCACAACACGAGTGATTTGCTCTAAGCTGTGGGTTGCTGGCGATATGCTAGCCCACCCATGCTTAAGGATACAAAGCACTCAAACCAGACCTTCCTCAACTGTATTAACAGACACACACATACGGATGCACGCACGCACACACAAGTCAATCGTGCAACTTGCAGTAATCACTATTTCGAAGGCAGAGGCAAGTAGGGCCTAATGGGCTGGATTCTCATTTGTCTGGTGGTCATGGCAATTCAGATGAGAGCCACCAGTGTATCAGTGGAAAGCCAACAACTAGCCTGAGACCGAATCTTGAAGTCAACCCTTAAAGCAGCCTTTCCTAATCTAGTGCCTTCTAGATGACCGACAGTCATGCTGGATAGGGATCATGGGGACTGTAGTCCAAACACATCCAGAAGGCATCTGACTGAGGTTGTCTTAGATGGGCTGAAATGACTCTGTTGGGATTTCCACCATCATGTTCAAAAGGTGCTAGAATTCTTACTAATCATTTATATCTTACATTCAAGTGTATCCTGATACACATACTTCTAACTCTGCTCCAGCTATTGAAGAAGAGTTCCAATTAGAGATGTCTCTGTTCTCACCATCTTCCATTTAGTTCAGCTCAGGTGATTAGCAAGGAGCAGACTCTCTTCTGAAATTTACCAGTAGTGAGATGCCTTTCTGTACATCAGAATCTAACTTTTGTGTACTGCACAGCCTCAGAAAGTGAATTGATGCCTCTTTCAGGGCCTTCCAAACATGAAACCTTTGGTATCAGTCCTGACCAAGGGAACACATCTCAAATAAAATGGCTGTCTAGTAGCAGGAAGAGTTTATACCAGCTTTGTAAGAAAATCAAGTTTATAAAAATAAAGAGAACTCTATTAAAAATGGAATTCTAAACACAAAAGACTCAGAATCGCAGTCTGCTGGTAAGTTCTAACTAACCCTTTCGATACCTAAGCAGGAATTCACATGGGCTTTTGACATATTAGTATCCTTGTAAAGATACAACCAATGTAGTTAGTTCAAAACTGATTAAGAACCTGTTTTTCCTTCCACTTTTCCATTTTCCTCAGCCTAAACAGAATGTTGCTAATTAAAATGGACACACTAGTGGTCTCTAAACCAGATCATTCGTTAGACCTCCCTAAAGGAAATGTACTGAATTTTTACTGATTATATTTTTCAGGGCCAAAGAAGTGGTGATGGGGCATAAAAGTTAAAATACATACCCACACACTCACCCCTTTTGAAAATGTTGTTTGCCATACAACTGCAGCTGCTTTTCTTCCCAACATTCAGCACCACTTCCTCTGCTCCCTCACCCCCAAACTGAAATGGTCTGTCTTAAGGCTACATTATCTACAGAGGGACCACTGAACCAGCAGGTTGACATCACAGCATCATGAAGCTAGTCAGACTTCCCTCCACTTTGGGGCAGTAAACATTTTTGCCTGACCCTGTTTTCTTTTCCCAAGCAAGCATTAATTAAGTATCTCTGTGTTGGAAGTTGGGTTGTTGTTGGCATCATTGCACCCACATTTGGGATCAGCCCTTCTGCCAGTGTTGTAGGAAGATGAACCTCTGAATAAAGTGATTGGGAGATACGTAATTTTCTTGACTGAAGCCTACTAGACAACTCCGGGACTAATGTATTTGATTTCCAACCACACCATTGCTGGTCGTCACTCTCCAACTGGGACTACTGCAATGAGGCATTTGTCTCACTGTACCAAAAGCAAAAGTCACAAAACAGCACACTAAGGTGTCTCACACTAGATGATCTGAGGCTGGCCTCCTTTACTGTCTTTTTTTTAAAATTCATTTTTAATATTATTTTACCTCCTTTACTGTCTTAACCTGATGCGATACAACCCTCTAACAAGACTGCAGTGGGGTGCTCTCTGTGTACAGCCCAAGTCGCCAACTTAAAACCAGTTGCATGGAAAATGAGATTTTTCCTCCATGCTCTCTACATGCAAGAATGAAGAATCCATCCTAAGCCCTTCACAGTAACATTACATTCTTCTACTGCCCATGTAACATACACCTGCCCTGTTTAACAGAACATAAAATTGCCCTGTAATTCATACATATTTCTGAGCAGATCGGCCCACAGCCAATGTAAAGACAACAGCTTTTTTTTTTTTAAGAACCACTAGGGCAGGTGGCATCATGATGTATTTAAAACACCACTCAGAGATGTGGGATTGCAGAAAGACATGTGCTTTTCACTGCCTCTCCAGTATATTTGAACACCACAAACTCGTTTGCTGTAACAAACATCTCTTTTTCTTCTCTAGTGGCACTTTCCTTGAATCAAAAGCAAAGCCTAAAATTAAACTGTGATTTTTGAATGCCTCTGTGCTGCTTCATCTTGCCTGGTCAGGGATGCTGCTGCTCAGATCCCTTTACTGCTTCCTGCTGCTTCTCCTTCACTGAGAAGCCAAGCTGTGTATATGAGGGCTGATCTTAACAGAACATGGTCCCTTTGTCACTCCCAGTCTGTGGGTGGCCGAATAACAAGGGGGGCAGCGTTCTTACGGCCGGCACGGATCCCTGGGTAGAAAAAAGGCCAAAGCTTCTCAGTGAAAGTGTCGGTAAATGTGTAGATATGGGAACGGTCCGTCACATTGT